CCTGTCCCGGGCGCTCGAGTAACGCTCCCTGGTCCCCAGCCCATCTCCCCGCCCAGCCCAACTGCAAACACCAGGAGATCCTCCTGGACCTCTTGCCTTGACACAGGCTGGGGTAGGAGGATCCCCAGGGTTTGCAGCTGTGCTGTGTCCTGCTGCAAACACTCAATCTGTGCCTCCCCAGAGCACAAACGCAGCTGGGGATCCCCCGGGAGAGCCCGAGTTTGCAGGGCTGGGATGAAAAATTTTGCAAAGCAAAATGTGCCAGAATACATAGAGGCAAAATAACAGATGCTTTTATTTTTCCCCATCTGCTTCCTCCTTGGATATTCCTGAAGCCCTCAGCAGAGGAAGCCCCAGCAACATTTAACATCTGGCCAAGCCACAGGTTCCTAGAAGCAGCCCTGCAAAAGGAAGCACTGGGCAGCGGCACCAAACGGTTGGTGGCTTTCCCAGCCCTGGCGTGGAGCTCGTCCCTTCCCCCTGCCCCAGCCCCACTGGCCTGGTTTGTTCCTGGCATCTCTCACCTGATGACCCACCAGCCGTCAAGCAGCTTGTGGATGACTTCGATGAGATCCCCCTCCTGGAGGGTCAGCTCGTCCTCCTCCACGGCCGTGTAGCTTTTCTGGACAACGTACTGCTCCCCTGCGCACAAAACGGGGACAGCAGGTTGGGTGCCAGCACCCCAGGGATGGGGCTCAGCCTCTCCAGGCGAGGAGAGGAGGCTCCAGAGCATCCACCCGATGTTTTAGGTAAGAGCCAGGGTGCTTCAGGTCTCCACATTTGGATCCAGACTTCCCCCAGCCTTGTTGGTGCCCATGGCTCGTCTCGCAGCACCTCTCCAGGAGAAAGCTGGAGAATGCACCCCTAACCCTGCTGAAGAGCGTGTTTATAATTCGGGTGATTAAATGAGGAAGAAGGAAGCGTTGTGCTAATAGACTCTGTTGCAGTGTTTTAAAAACCACAAAGACAAAGCCTGGAGAGCAACCAGCCTGAGCCTGCAGGCTCCTCTCTGCTGGGTGCGATACGGCCCCGCTGCCGCCGTGGGGTGATGTGGGGGGTGGGCAATGCGGGGGGCTGACATGGAAAGTGCAGAAGCCGAGAGCTGGGAAAACCCTGCACCTCGGTTCAGACACTGATCCTTTGCCAACCTGGGGACTCAGCATCACCCGGCTAGCTCAGCACGGCTGGTCGGTGGCCATGGGAGCAAACAAGCATCTGAGGCTGAGCTGCGGGTCACGGGAAGCTCCTGAGGTTGACATTAAGGCACCGAACCATGAAATTGATCCCTACAGCAACACCTCCCTCCCAGTGGCACTGCTCAGCCTGGGCTGCCCAGGGGGGGCCCTGCAATGAGCACCCCAGCGGGGAGCAGCGGCAGGCTGGGCTCCGGTGCACACCCTGGTTGCCCCCACGTTTTACCTGCGTAGTTGGGCTCCTGCTCTTCAGACTCATCCGGCCCGTCCATCGGCTCCAGATAGGCAGCAGGCACCCAGCCCCGTTTGTTCTTCAACTGGCAGAACCACCGTGGGCAAGAGCAGAGGGTGCTGGGGGGACACTGGGGGGGCACAAGCACGGGGTCTGTCCCCGGCTGGGGTAGGCGCTGGCATCCACGTGGCTCAGGTGGAATCAGCGGCGCCAGGGCTGGTCTCTGTTTACATGGTGCAGCCAGGGAGCTCGGCCAGTTCATCTGCTTCCTCCTGGGCAGGAAACCTTGCCGGCTGAGGCATGCCAGGAGGTTGCAGGGTTTTCTCAGATTGCCCCACACCCTCCTGGACTGTCATGTGGCTCCATGTGAATCTGAACCATGTCCCTGGGGACGGGAAGCACCGAGAGGTTCAGTGCTGCTGTTTGCATTTGCTCTGAACTTCTCCTCTCCATAGAATTCGAATCACAGAATGGTTTGGGTTGGGAGGG